CAAACTGTTGGACAATAAGTATGACTATGTTCCATGTGATTGTCCATACGATATCTAGAACAGAGGATCATACGATCCCTTATCTAAAGGACAGGTTACTGATAAGATCAGGGTTCGACAGCGTCTTTGAGAGCTATGATTGCTAATCGGATTTTGCTTGTATTTATGGTTACTAGACTTATCCAAGTGGGAGAGTGTTGGATTAGTGTCTAAGCCCGTAACCATATTTGGTAAGTACTTGACCGTTTGTGCATGGTCCTTTTGGGTTGCCTTCACCAAAGCAACTTGACTGGAGAAATAATAGAGAAAGAGGTTATTATGGTTTATTAATATATTATAAGAATAATATATTAAGAGAGAAATCATATTTGTTTAGCTAACATTGGTCAAGAATTAATTAAGAATTAATTTTGTGATCAAAAGAAATTAACTAAACTAGGGGGACTGAACTGCAATTGTGTGATAGTTGCAAAGTAGGGCAAAGGATGCCCTATAGGATAGGGTGGACGAATTCAAGGGGATAAGGCCTTAGAATTCGTCCATGATGAGGTTTCTAGAATTATCCTTGGGCTGCTTGGTGGCTAAGCAACCAGATAAGGATAAGGACTGAAACTCTAATCCCTACACCTATATAAGGACCCTATGGCTTAGGAAAATCGGCCACTTGATCCTAGAAGTTCATAGAGCCGATTTTCTGCCTCTCCCCTCTCTCTCTCTTGCCTCTCCATTTGCTCTTGGTGTTTGTGAGCCATTAGAGGTACTACACTTGTGGTACTTGCTTTCAAAGACAAGAAGATTAAAGATACAAGTTTTTATTACAACATAACAACAAGAGGTATGTAATCCTTTCTCCTTTATGAATTTTGAAATTATTAGGAGCATGATAGGGTTCTTCATGTGTTCATAATGTTGTGTAACTAATAGCAAAACATAGATCCATATCTAGGGTTGCATTCACACATAGGATTGTTTGTATAAAACCCATCAAATTGTTGATACTTCTGGATTTTTAACAGAGGTTATAATTTATTTTACTTTTCATTTGAATCTTCTGTTTTAACCAGTGAGACATTTTCTTCCATATTCCGATCTTTGACCTCAAATCCTTTTTCAAATGTGTTGATGTTCAATTGCTTGTAAGCCAATTTCTATTCATTTATGCTATTATTTTCCATCGATTTTAAGTTTTTGCTATGGAATAGTATAAATTAAAGTTATTTTATTTCAAGATATTATTAAATGTTATATTAATAGAATGTCTTTTCTTATATTTTGTGTAGGTTTGATCCTTATTTCTGTCACCATGTGATTGTTGGCTTGGGAGATGAGGGGAGGCCATTTATTTTCATGGTGTACTCAATTGAAGTGACATAGGTCTACTTTTTATACTTTTATTGTTAGTTGTACGTTTTCTGAAACTATACTCTTCAAAAGTTATTTTCTTTTTCTTTGTAATGGTAAATTAGATTCATTAACCTTTCTTTTTGGAAATGAATCATACAGAACTTGCAAAAGATTTTATGGTGACAAGGTAGATTTCTATATTGTAATTCATTAGTTCTTTAATGGGAAAACTTCACTTCTTGACTTTTTAATTTAGTCATTTTTACAATAAGTAAAGGCAAGCACTCATGTATATATTAACAGAATAATGGGTTGTGTTTTTTCTGTTAAGTTGTATATTGGTATTAATAAATGTCTGGATAAAGTACATATATACTTTTTTTTTCTTTTCCGATTGAATACACTGTTGGCATGAGACTAAATGAGCATTTTGCCCTCAGCACAATCCAAACCAGTTTCACAAAATCTTCCACCTAAAGGGACAAAAACACAGCCAAATGGTCAGACACTTGATCACTTTGTGTCATCCCTCTAACCAAAGTCCTGCAATAATTCTTCTTCCATTTTTACGCATGTAAGAACATACTTACCACTTAAGTTATTTTACATGCCTAGATCAATAGATCAAGTTCATAACAGGTCTTAACTTACTTTTTTTTTATCACTGATTAGCAGTTATTGACTTTAACGAAGTCAATCAAGTAGATCACATTCATGCATCGTTGCAATGCAAGGTAAACCATGACTTTTTCCAATTGCTCTTTCTTTATTAAGTTTAAAAATAAATACTCATGTATAGCTTAGTCTATTAAGTCTTGTCCCAGTTGCCTAAAAAATAAAATCTTGCTTCCTTTTTTGGTAATCGGGTTTATGCTGATTTTGTAAGTATGGTCCCTAAAATATAAATTGACTAAAAGTACCTATTTTGGAAATATAGTACATGAAAATAAGTCTTTCCACATGATATAAAATGATTACTTAAGGTTTCAATCAAGAAGAAGGCGTTGATTACTTTGACACCTTTAGTCCAGTCATAAACCCTACAACTATACGCTTGGTTTTATATCTTGTTGTCTCCCAGGGATGGTACATTCGCCAATTAGATATCAATAATGCATTCATCAATGGTGACTTAAACAAAGATGTTTATATGATACAACATGTGGCTTTAAATATCATGGATAATCGACACATGTCTTCCGCCTCAATAAATCCCTCTATGACCCGAAACAAGCGTCAAGAGCCTGGTTCACCAAACTCAAGTCCTACCTTACCACTCAAGGCTTTGGTGCAGATGACTCTGACATGTACCTCTTTGTGTACAAATCGCGATCTGATGTTATTTACATTTTTGTGTATGTGGATGATCTCATTTTTACAGGTACAAATGCACCCCTGATTCAACGATTCATTCAGCAACTCCATTTCGTATTTACACTTAAAGACTTGTGAGCTCTATATTATTTTCTAGGTATCACAATCAAACACACTCCATTAGATCTCACACTTAGTCAAAAAGGGTATATTTGTGATATTCTTGAACACATCCATATGTCATCAGCTGCTCTAATATCCACACCCCTGATGCAAGCTCCAAAATCACTCTTCATGGTGAACCATTCTCCGATCCAAGGCTCTATTGACAAGTTGTCGGCTCTCTTGAATATGTCACTATTACACACCCTGACATTACATTTGCAGTCAATCGGGTTTGTCAATACATGCATGCTCCTACTACACTTTATTGGTAGGCTGTAAAAAGAAACTCGCATTCTCTTCAAGACACTCTCGCTCATTGTTTACACTTCTCTCCAACCAATAAAACTTTTATTCTTGCTTTTTTTAACGTTGGATGGGTCTTCGATGCCGATGACAGTTACTCTCAATATGCCTTCGCAATCTATTATGGCTCTAATCTCATAATTTGGACATCCCAAAAATAAAAGGTTGTTGCTAAATCGAGTACTGAGGCAAAATATCGAGCCTTGACATACACTGCAACTGAGCTAATCTGGATAAAACAATTGTTTTTCGAACTTTATGCACCAGTTACATGTGCTCCTTTACTATTGTGTGGCAATTTCGGATCCACCTTCATGACCAAAAATCAAGTAATTTGTACCCGATCCAAACATATTGCACTAGACCTCCACTTTGTTAAAGAACATGTTGAAGCCAAAGATCTTCAAATTAGTCATGTATCCTCGGTTAATCGACATGCAAATATCTTCACTAAACCATTCCATAAAGATCGATTTCGTTCTTTGTGTCACAAACTTCAAGTTCGTCCCGCACATGAGCTTGATGGGGGTAATAATGATATACAATTTCAAGTTCAACACAGATGTGTATTTGTTTTACCATGTGTCATAGACTTAGTCTAGTCAAAGTAGTGTAGCCTTATATTTAGGTTTCAGTTGTACTTTCCACTGTACAAATACCTCATGTATTTCATTGTAACATTCATCAATTCAATACAAAAGAATTACTTTGGGTACTTCTGGATTTATATACAAAATTGGTGTGTTGTTAACAAATAAAACATAAGAGTAAGGATCATACACGATGATGGAGAGAGGAACAGTTACTCCGATTGGAAGGCTGCTGCCACGATTGAGATTTGGAGATGGGAATAGATGATGATGCTTACATCATATAAGAGAGCTCGCTTGGGGAAGATAAATTTTTGGCAGGACTAGAACCCTTAACTTTTGACTTTTGACTAAGAGACATTTATGATCTATCCGTCAACTTCTGGAACCGTTAGGCCAAATACTCTTTAGTTACCGGACTGCAATCTATTGTTACCGGTGGTTTGTGTGATATTAATAATGAAAATTTAATTCGGCAATGCGTAATATAATTGGTTTCATTATGGTAATAATAACAAGAATAGTAATGATAACTCAATAGTGAACAATTGAAAAACAATAATAAATTTAAAATGACAATTGTAAATTGAAATAACTATGGCTAAATGAAAATAATAATAATTTTTAGAGTAAATTACATGAATCGTCCCTAAGGTTTAGGATAATTTGCACGTTTGGTCCCTAACTTATTTTTTTAACTTGAAAGGTCCCTACTATTTGTTTTTGTTACGCGCTTGGTCTCTGTCTTACCTAAAAAGACTATTTTACCCTTGATTTTTAATTTATTTAAATAAACACACTCAACCCCACCCCTTCACTTTACCTTACCTACCCCACCATTTTTCTCTATTTAAATAATAGTCTTTTTAGGTAAGACAAGGACCAAGCGCGTAACAAAAACAAATAGTAGAGACCAAACGCGTAACAAAAATAAATAGTAGGGACCTTCCGAGTTAAAAAAATAAGTTAGGGACCAAACGTGCAAATTACCCCAAACCATAAGGACCATTCGTGTAATTTACTCTAATTTTTAATAAATAGTAATCTAATATAAACTTTAAATTTTGAACGTCTTTTTAACAAATTCAATTATCTGTTTTTTCAGGTACTGTGCATTGTAATCCAAAAACCGAAGATTTAAAATATTAGTTGATTAAATTGGAAAAAAAAAAAAAAAAAATCTAATTGAGGTAACTAAAAAAAATTTATTGTTTGATTTTTCAATTTGGGATATTTTGAAAACCATAAGCATATATATGTATAGCATGAATTCAAAAGTTGGTTAATTTGCCCAAAGGAGGGCGGGCTTTCATTTGATTGCGATTCAAACAAATCAATCTCCTTGACGATCGGGGATTTCTTTTTCTTCCTTGGGTTCTTTTTCCCATGATTTTCCTTTTCCAAGTCATGTTGGAGGACCAAATATATATGTTTTACAAGATCCGCAGGTGTTATTCGTCTCCTTCTTCCCTTAATACGATGATAATTTGCGACACTTTGTATACATTTTTGGGATTAGATTAATCCGGACGGTTTATTGTTTTGTTTTGATGGTGGTGGTTCATGCGCAATACCTAAACCAAATGATTTCATATTACGAATCTTTTTTTTTTCTTTTGTTTCTGAAGGATCCCAGAAATCTTGAAAGAACTTTTATGCATCCTTCAATGCCCATAACATGTTTGTAGAAATGACCAAGTGAATATGAAGATTATCTGATATGTAACATTTCAGGTAACTGCTGTGGCTTAATCAATGGGAAATTGCTGCAAATCGGTAATGTTCTGTTTTTGATGTCGTTTATGTGCACAACCCTTTGTATATGCGGTTCATCTTACCTGAGTTTTTTGTTGTAGAATTTAGTATTAAAAATCTGTAATTATTGTTATATTCAAACTCAGAATATGCTTATTATTAAGAAAACGAAACTCGATGGCAGTCCTCCAAAACCGGATTTAAAAACAAACAATCAACAACAAGTCCACTCGCAAGCGGAAAGGTTGCCCTTATAGAAACCCTAGAAAAATGGGAAGAAAAACTATCCGAAGCAAACAGAAGAGGGAAGATGGTTCGTCATTTCGCTTGTTGATATTTTCATGAGTAATTTACATTTTTGGTCCGTATAGAATTTTTTTTTGTAATTTTTGTCCCATAAGTTTTCTCTTGTAATTTTGGTCTTCAATTTTTTTTGAAACAAGAACAAAACCGTTGCAAAAAGTTCAAAATATGACCGAAATTGCAAAACAAAACTTTTTGGTACCAAAATTGCAAAATCCAGGGACCAAAAATGCAATTTTTTTCAATTTTAGTCTCAAAAAAATTTCCCTTTGCAATTTTGGTCCTTATTTGAAGTTTTTGGTATTTGTTTCAAGTAATATGACTATATTTTTTTGACCAAATTGCAAATCAGCTATATACGAAGCAAAAGTTCTCATTTCACTTGTTACAGAAACCTTAAATAAGGACCAAAATTACAAGAGAAAACTTATCGGGGATAAATTGCAAAAATCAACTATACCAGGGACTGGGAATGTAATTTACTCGATGACATATGAAAACTGTTTTTTAAACATAATTTTTTTTTTAAAAAAAAAAAAAAAAACAGGTTGTGGTGAATTTTAGTGCATCTTGGTGTAGTCCTTGTAGGGTGATAGCGCCTGCATTCTCCAGTCTTGCTGCTAAATATGAGTCACTTGTGTTCTTGACTGTGGATGTTGATGAGCTGTCTGTAAGTAATTAAGTTTCATAATTCATATATATGATGCTGATTGTAACACTTATTTTTTAAAGAAAGATTCCAAGTTAAAATCATAAGATTTTACTATTTGAAGGGTATGTTAGACATTCTATAAAAGCACGTAATGTGTTTTGCAGGAGTTTAGTGCATCATGGGACATTAAAGCCACGCCGACTTTCTTCTTCCTTAAAGATGGGAGACAAGTAGATAAACTTGTAGGGGCAAATGTGGAAGAGCTTATAAACAAGACGGAAGCTTTTGCTGCTGCTAACTATCAACAAAGATGAAGAAATTAAAAAAAAAAAAATTTACTTGGTTTTTATATTGATGATTTACTAAATCTGTGTGTATTTGTTGTAGGAATGAGAGTTGTAGTTTGTGGATTAATTAATAGATGTACTTTTCATCATTTAATGGAACTATGATATGTTCTAAAAGTATCTTTCTTAGGGTGTTTAGGATTGAACAAAAAATTGTTTTTTTAAGTGTTTATTAGCCTAAAAAATGTTTGAATTAGCTAATGTAGTAGCAAAACAAAATTTTTTTAAAAAAAATTGTTTGATAAAAATGCTTATTGGATTAAAATGAAGGCATTATTATCATTTTATCTCAAGAAGCTATTAGTCATTTTTGAAAAAAAAATCAAATCAAATGGGAATAGTTTTTCAAAAATTCTTTGTTAGTGATAGCAAAAAGAGGTTTTAAAAAGCCATCTTGGCTTTTTGTATTTGCAAATGCTCATTTAGGCTTATAATTGTGCCAAAAAGTCGATAAGTTAATAAGTTTTTAAAGAACTCAGTCCCAAACATTGCTATGTTTTGATAGTGTTGAAAACTACAATTACCAACATTTATTTATAGCTAAAGAGACATTCTAGAATATAGGTTCCGTTAAAATTAAAATTTGCAAAGACTGTCCTCAAAGATTACCTTTAAAGTATCATTGATACAAAAACATTATCAGTTTTACCTAAAAGTGTTTTAGATATTCAATTAATAACTAAATTGTTTTCTTAAATCAACATTTTTTTTAACATAGTAAGAAACAACAATAGTAATAGCAATGCCCAATCTCATAACAATGGGTAAGAGGTAATAGGTAGGCAGCCAAAACTTTTTCTATAGACGAGCGTACAAAGAGGCACGGACTAGTGGTAGGTGATTTGACGATGAAACGTTAGCCTACAATGAAGAAAAATAATCAATGGTATATGATTATTGATATATATATATATTTTTTTTTAATACAAGCAACAACAAACAAATAATGGGAAACATGGGTGAGCATAAAAATATCAAATAAATGGACAAATAGGAAGAGCAGATACAAGCACTAAAGTTGGAAGTTGAACTAGCATAAAAAATTAAAAAGTAAACGGAAGACAAGATTAAGAGGGTGTTTGGATAAAGTCATCCTTAACAGCCTTTTTCTTATGGAGCATAGACCCTAGCCATTTGAAACTCACTCTCATTACTTGTTCACTAACTAGAAAGGTTACCCCCGCTACGCGGGGGCCAGAAGCTTTCAATGTTGTTTCCGAATTGATAAATATGACAGACATAGAAAGTGCAAAGATGAAAAGTCCGGACTTTGCCCCGGACAAAAAATGTAAAAGTTTTGACTGCAAGGACCAGAAGTGTGAAAATGGCTAAAGAATTAAAGGGGTAGGAATTAACAACTTTTTAGAAAAGGGATCAAAGTTGTCAAACCGTTAAAGTTTTGTGGCCAAACTTTAAATATTAAAAGGTTCCAAAAAAGTGTAAAAATATTGATTGCAAGGACCAAAAGTGTCAAAATGGGTAAAGAATAATGACCAAAGTTGCCAAAAAAATCCAAATTTAGTATTCCTAACTTACAACAATAATACAGGGACCAATTCTGCCAAAAAAATGGGAAGTTGAATGGAACACAAACAAAAATACATAAATAAATTAATTAAAGAAGTACAGGGACCGGATATGTAAATCAAGGGACCAAACTTGGACAAAATATCCCAAGTTTACTATTCCTTTCTCCACAACTTTAATATATATAATAATATGTAATTCTACCCCTTCACCATTTCACTACCCATTGAGATTGCAACTTTGAGCATAGCCTTTGTTCCCCCATCGATTAACTAATATCACACTGATTGAACAAAGTGAGTACCGAATAAAAGTAATGTATATCACTAAATTAAAATTGTCATAAATGCAACAACATAACAATAAAAAATTAATTTAAATACTCAAAATTACATTTAAAAAAACTTTTGGAATCATTCATTCCTGTGTAGGAAAGGATCTGCAGGCCTGACATAAGTAAATCCCTTAAACGGGTTCTCCTTACATTTGGGACTCGCAGAAGGGGAATCCAGAAGCGGGGGCAAATTTGTCCAACACTCTTCAAAATTCGCAATGCATTGCTTCCCAGCTACTTGTGGAACAAAACTTGGCTTTATTTCTCTATCCTCCAGTTTCCTCCAATTAATCACTTTAAACCAACCATGTTTTTTTATCTCATCGCCTCCACCTGTCCCACTCCCAAGTCGCCTGCTTGAATCCTTCTGTAACAACTATTTTTTTTTTTTTTTTTTTTTTAAAAACACCATTATTAAGCAACAACTATAACACAAGTATATAATATTACGAATTACGAGATTACCCCTTTCAAAAGCGAATGTGCTTCACTTGACAAGAATCCCGGAAGCTTTATCTTGTCCTTGACTATTTTCTCCTGAATTTTCTGTCTGTTTCCACCTCTAAACGGAGGCTGCAATGCAAAGACACAATGTCCAAACAGAATTACATTATTACCCTCACGCTAAAAGTAAGGGGAATTTAATAGTAAAATTTATTAAAAGTAATTAAGGGTGACAGCACACTGACACCAACCTTTCCGGTAAGCATTTCATACATTAAAATTCCAACACTCCACCAATCAGCCGCCTTATCATGGCCCCTCCCTTGTACAATTTCAGGTGACATATATTCTAATGTCCCACACATGGAATTTGACCTTGTGCTTTCATCAAATTGCTTTGCTACCCCAAAGTCAGTCAACATAACCTGAATAATAATAATAATTCAATAAACTTAAACCAAAACATTTTACCACAATAATAACCTATTATGCCTCATGAATCATGTACACCATCGTTTTAATTGTAGACAACAGATCCCTAAACTCAATATATAAAAGAGAGGATGAGGATCTTACATGCCCCTCAGCATCTAGAAGAATATTTTCAGGTTTCAGGTCCCTGTGCATTATGCCATTAGCATGGAGATGCGAAACAGCAGAAACTATCTCAGCAGTGTAGAAACGTGCCAGGTCCTCCCTGCAGATGCAACAGAATGTTTGATCCTCTCAAATAATTGCAACATCATCAAACATTAAATTTTATCATTTTCTTAATTTTAATGTTGTCTCCCTTTTGGGCAACACATACCTGAACAACCCTTGCCTATACAGTTGAAAGAAAAGGTGGCCCCCATTCACAAAATCAAGAACAAGGAACAATCTATGTTTGGTCTGCATACACATAATGACAGAAACCAAAAAAAAAAACATTAGGGATAGATGATACAATCTTTATGTGAAGGTGACCTTTAGAATTTGATTTAAGGACATTGGAAAGAATAAGTTCTTTTTTTTTTCTTTTATAACTTTTTTTCATTTGTCATTTTTTTTGACTTTTTGTACAGAGTAAATTTTTTTTACCTGGAATGAATATTTGAGTTGTACAATAAACGGATGGTCAACTTTGGTCAAAATATCTCTTTCTGCTTTCATATATTCAGCATGATCTTTCTCAAAAATCCTATCTTTACGCATGACCTTCATTGCAAAGATTTCGGATGAACCATGTTTTCTGACTTGATAAACTTTTGCAAATGCACCTTGGCCAACCACTTTCAAGATTTCAAAGTCTTCAAGTCCCACACTTTTTATTTTTACTAAACTACCATCATCATCATCATCATCATCAACAAAAGAAGCTTCTTCGAGTTCTTTTAAAGCCATTGTACTTACAGTGATACCCTCAACAAGATCATATTCAGTCTCGTGTAAAGTGAGTGTGCTAAGCTTCATGGACTGGTTTGTAAAAGTTGTGGGACCCACTAATGAATGGGATCGGCTACAAATTACTTCTGGCTCATCGTATACTAATCCATTTGTGTTGGGTGCAGAAGGTAGTTGAGGTGGCGCACCAAATACATCAGAAAAGTCAAAGTCAAGCTCAACATGATGATCTACAGTCTTCCTTGTGGTGTTTCCGGTCATTTGCAAACATTGGGAAGCAACCATTTTCCAATGTTTGAGATGATGTGGGTATACAGCAGGTGGAATTTCAATTCTTCACTATCGATCTCTAAATTGATGAAAGGCACTTCACAGAGAACAGGAGGGTTAAGTATAGGACTGGAGTCCCAGAGAATCTTGAAAATAGGCAAATAAGGATCCAGAAAGGGAAGTTGTTCTTGTTTCCCGCTTCACAGGAAACAGACGATGTAGCAATGCTTCTTGAAATCATGAAGATCATGCAGTCAAACTGTAGTTTTCAGGAAAGAATTCATTTTTCAGGGATTCACAAATTGTAAGTTGATAAACAAGTACAGCTGGTTAATTTAACTACACGAATCTTCTTTTAAGAAAACCAGAAAACAGAAAGAGTCCACTAAAAGGTCACTAAAGACTTCCTTCAGGCAAATCCCAATAAACTGGAATAAAGATTTCCTCTAAAAGATCAAATAGAGGGAAAAGGACGCTTGTTTGAGACTTCCTTTTATCAAAATTAAATACAGTAAATTCAAGATTCTTCTTTCCCGACAATTATCAACAAATTCATCATGTACTTGAATCTATCATACCGAATTAGAAAAGCATAATACAACGGAGATAGCATAAAACATCTTGACAAAACCAAGATAACATATTTGCGAATTCAAAATTAAAGAATCAAACAACCAAACAAATCTCCGATTTATCAACTGCCAGCGAGAAAACAGCTTTCGGACTCATAATTGAACCCAACGCACATCGATCACTAATTCTACATCAAAATTCAAAACCACTACCATCCTTCAAGCAATTAATTTCACACAAATAACATATCACTATAGATCAAAAAAGGCAAAAGGAAAAGGAAAATTCCTCACAGCATTAAAATTCTACATGCAATAACGCAACATTAAACCCTAAATCCAACAACAAAACTCCTCAAAAACTGAACATCGAACAGCAAAACCATAACAAGTACAGAAAAACCTTCGATTACGATGTTTAAACACCAAACATTGAAGGTGATTTTAATCGATTTCCGTCTTACCTGGAGAGATCGCCGAGGGGATTCGCTGTAAAAGAAAAGCTGTTCACAAAAGGAAGGAAAAATATAGAATATTATCGATTTGCCGCTTATAACTGACTTAAAAATAAAAATGAATAAATAAAAACAAAAAATAAGGAAATGTATGACGTGGCAAATTTTGATTGGAACTTAAAGAATAACGTCCAGCTTATGATGTGACGTTACATTCACGCATTTTCTGGTGGTTTATTTTGTGGCTTGTGAGAAAGGAAGTCGTTTTGGTCACGGCGAAGCAATTACTTTGAGTGAATTACACAATTAGTACTTGGAGTATTGTTCAAATAACACATCTCAGTTTTTGTATGATTCATTCACTTTCTTGGTCAATTATGTGCTAGATCAATGTAGATGTTATATTACAACAAATCATTTGGTATTGGTTTTTTATTATATTTAGTTATATATTCATAACTAAAACTAAAAATATAAGAATAGGAGGTTGTTTGCATTGTAAAATTATGAAATGATCAAAATGTATATTTAAACAAAAGTCTAGGATGATTTCTGCCATTCTGGCTAATTTCATAAACTTTGCGCCTTTGCGATGGGCCTGTGGATATGCTCTTGTTTTATTCGAATCTATTTATGGAACCAAACTTTATTTTATACTACAAGATGGTCATTGTAGGTTATTATAAAATTTGGTTTTCCAATCTATTAATGGAACCGAACTTTATTTTATACTACAAGATGGTCATTGTAGGTTTATTATGAAATTTGGTTTTTCTTGTAGGTTTGATGATCCATCAGACAAATATGTATCGAATGACAATCTTAAGTATTTTTTTTTTAAATGTTTTTACTTTTTATTAGTCATTAACACCTCACCACTCAACCCTACCCCTCTCGTTGAACCCAACAAGCTTCTCCGGCCATCTTCTTTTTAAACCTAGCCAATGATGATTAGGTGTCGGGGTGAGTGAGAGGGTAGGTGGTGGTGTCGTTTCATTGCATGCAATTTTTGGTGAATCATTAGGTCAAGATGTACTCAACTGATCATAAGAATATCTGTTAGGCGTGTCAGACCCAACAAATAAAGGGGTACGATACACTCCAAAAGAATCCCACTATATTGCACTAAAAGGTAGAACAAGGCAAGCAGGGTCGGTCCACTGAGACACGGGATAATTAGTCTATACCTCTTTGCGCAAGGTACTATGGTCACCAACAGTAAAGAGGGGGGTTTAGAATGAAATAATTAAAACAAACAATTAAAAACACAAGTAATCAACTAAAAGAGTGAATTAAATTCAGAAATTGTAAGGAATCCAACCTCATGTATGACAACTTAGCAATGTGATTCCAAGATAATATGATATTTGCTCAATTCTATCTAAGTTGGTACTTGAAAGTGTTAACAAGCTCTAACACTTCCCATTCACCACATTAATTAACCAAAACAAGCTCTTTGATTAACCCTCACCTTACTAACATTATCTAAACACACTCTTAGAATTAGATTGAAAGATTGCATTAAACTTTATGTGAATGTTCCCAACAACACCCAATACTCCTCACAAGCTCGGGAGCGTAAGAGTGTGTGAATAAGATTTACACTAAATTCATTCAATGGAAATCGGTTTAGTGCTTGTTACTTGTTCAATTTCACAAAACAATTACAGATTTTGTAAAACAGATAACTTGAATGACCTAACCCTAATTCAAATGGCTAATAAGAATCACAATTAGAATCAAACATTCGATTAAATCAAAATCAAATTCACTAGATAGAAATTAAAAGCAAACATCAAGTCATATGATTGAAATCAAAACTAAGAAGTCAAGACATAACGTTGGAGAAATTAGGGTTCTAGCCACACATGGCTAGAACAAGATCACAAGAATAAAAGATGGAAATAATGTGCAATTACAACTTACAAATAAGAGAAATAATGTTTCCAAATGATAAATGATCAAATCCTTGCAAAAACCTTCGAAATCCCCTCTCAAAATGTGCTCTGATATGTTCTGTATGTCCCCAAATGACCCAATTTCCGTAATATGAAAGATAGGAAAAACTGCCAAAAGTTGGTTTTTGGGTCGAACACGGCCCGTGTTAAAATAGGTTAAACTGACACGACCCGTGTTCAGCAGCCAACACGGCCCGTGTTGATTTGCACTAAACTGACACGGCCCATGTTCAGCATGGTCAACAGCTCCCATTTTGTTCAACACGGCCCGTGTTGATTTTGTAGAGTAAATCCAACACGGCCCGTGTACCCCTCTGACTCCGAATCCAAACTTGATTTTTCCAACTTTTTCGTTCTTCGCCCAATCATCCCGAAATCTTCACCAATGCTTCCCGGCACCTCCCAAAGCGCATTCCAAGCTCCGGTTTACCTGAAAAAGACATGAAAGTGTGCAAATAAGGTTGTTCTAGAGACTAACATGAATATTATAAAATGCAAGAAAAAGGAAGAACAATTATGCTAAATAGATGCATGAAATGGGACTAAAAGGTGTGCAAAAAGGTGCACAAATTGCACCTAACAATATCGGTGAAGATAAAATTTTGTAAGTGAATCGTGTTGCCAAAGAACAAAGTTCGCATGAGTTAGACTCGATTTGGATTGACGAGATCTCAAAGCACTCATGACAAATCATGAGGAAGTCGTGAAAAGATCCTAGTGAGGCCTTATCATTTTGTTTTCTCACTTAGTTTTTAAGATTGTGATTAATACGAGTTTAAAACTGAAAATAAATTAAAAATTGTAGGATATTGTGTTGAACACGGGTCTTAGTGAGAAAATGAAAATTAGTTTTTTCTCTTGTAAAAATACAACTTCTTTACAACCATTTTAGACACACAAGAAATTATATTTAGTCCTCTCCTCTTTTCCCTTTGCTACCATAAATGTAACGCTCGGGCCTAAAAAGGTTCGATGGTTTTAAACAACATATGTAGTAGTTGTATCATGGGAACAAACGTTTGGTTGCAGACGAATTGTTTTAAGGACATTATATCGAACACATGTCAAACCATTTTCCATCGGTTGTTGTTCTTTCATGCATTATTGTAACAATATTCTTACATAAAGTTCCAAGGGATCTTCAAATGTTATATAGTTTTCGATTGAGTTTGTAACACCCACATTCAGTGAGTGATGTGGAAGTGTTGGGGGTGAGTGTCAGTTGGAGAAAAGGTGGCTGCTTTTTGTGGTAGGAGGCAAAGTTCAGGTGGTAAATGTGCAAGGCAAAGAAAGTTTCCTTTAGAAGATGTTATTGTGGAATGTGGATAACCTTCCTTGCGTTGCTCACACCAGTTTGGGATGATGAACCACTTGAGCGACCTTGAGAAGCCATTACACAAAATCGTGATGCTCCAAGAGAAGAAAATAAATAGAAATAAGTGAAAGTGAGTGCATATGTATGTAAGGATTCAATTTAATCTAAATATTTGCCAACTTGGATCATATGTGAAAGCTATGAACCAATAAAAATCTACATACAACTAATAATAATATAGAGAGAAAACGGTTAGGGTTACACTGTTAATGGAAAACTATGTTGAGACAAAGGAAAGTAAATAACACTATAAATAGGAAAGTCATATAGGGTTAACCTAGCTAAAGGGATACACATAAGGCTCAATACAAAAAGAGACTAAATAACTTATTATGTTAATATGTAAACTAATAACAATCTACAGAGAACTAATAATAATATAAAGAGAAAACAGTCAGGTTTACAATGTTAATGGAAATTGTGTTGAAACAAAGAAAAGTAAATAAGACTATAAATAAAAAAGTTATCTAGGGTTAACATAACTAAAGGGCTAAACATAAGGCCCAATACAAAAAGAGCACAAATAACTTATACTAATTAATATCCCCTTACAAACTCACAATGCGGTGGAAACAAGCATTGAGAGTTTGTCTTTAAAGAAACAAAAATGAGAAGTTGAGTGTGCCTTAGCAAAAATTCACATCTGCAACCAACCAAACAATCTACATTGTAGTAGCGGCGAAAATTTTTCATCTAAGCAGCAATACCAAACAATCTTCAAGAGAAGCAGGTAAATCAAACAACTTACACGAAAACATCCAAAACCAAACAATCTACACGAAGCAGCCAAAACCAAAACAATATGCACAGAAGCATCCAAAACCAAACAATTTGCATAAAAACAGCCAAAATCAAACAATATGCACGAAAGCACCCAAAACCAAAAAATTTGCACGAAAGTAGCTAAAACCAAACAATCTACATGAAAACAGGTAAAACCAAACAATATACACAAGCAGACAAAACAAAACGATATGCATGAAAGCTACTAAAACCAAACAATCTGCATGAAAAGCAGGCAAAACAAAACAATTTGCAAAAAAGCAGCCAAAACAAACAAACAAATCTAAAGATATTATCGGAAGTATCACAACAAAGAAAACCAAATATGCAAATATGCATTGTACTAAACTAATTTAACCAATCCTTCTTATTCTCTTTCCATCCCTCAAACTCACAAGGGTAAATAGCACAAAAAACACTAAGTTTACACCAAAATTCTAATTTGACATTGTGTTTTTTTTTCTCAAATTTAACACTGTATTTTCCAAATTTTACAATTCTGACCACTTGACCGGTCAACCAGGTTACCTGCTGACGTGTCAAATTTGATGACATGGCATGCTGACGTGTCAAATTTGAATTTTTTTCACAAAAGATACTAAGTTTTTATTTTTTTCAATTTTGACACTAAGTTTAATTTTTTTTTTAATTTTGACACTCTATTTTTTTGTTCCAAATTGAAAATATTTTTTTCTAATTTTATTCAATGTTAACCATTTTCCATTTGAAACCGTATAAATATATATTTTTTATTACATTTTAAACAATATAAATACATTTTTTTCGTTTAAAAACCATATTTTATACAAATACAAGGTTTTTTTTACATTCAAAGCATAATGTTATGCATAAATATGTGTTAATTATCATGAGAACCGAACTAATCATAAGCTTCGAATAAGATGTTACAATTTCACGGGTTGCAAACCTAACTTCTGGACATTAATAGACTACACGCCTCCAAACCTCCAAACTCATTTTAAAGTTGTGTGTTTAATATAAAATACGGTTTTTATATAACTAATATATATTTATACATAAAATTATGGTTTGAATGTAAATAAAACCTCGTTCAAGAGATGATATCTGCTATGAAGTTCATGCCTCTAGATCCCCGAGAATATTTGCGGCTTTAATTTTATACAATAAATCTACATTCGTTTTTCCCGTGAACGTGAAGGCAGCAATTGGAAGAAGTTGAAATAGGGAGAATTTTTATCCTTAGTTATATATTTCTTAGAGTAAATTACAAACTGATCGGAAATTTGAAGAAAGATGGGACATGCATTGATCGGATTAGTAAAGGATTGTCTTTGTGATATTGTGGTTCTTACATGTGCTCCTTCACGTAAGTTTTTTCACTGAAATTGATGAAGATGGAACTATTGTAAATTACTTAAAATTAGGAGATACATCTCAAGTGAATAAAAACATTACAAGTTCAAGACCAAAGTAACTTATAACTATTGGATACTTAAAATTATGAGATACATCTCAAGTGAACGAAAACATTGCAAGCTCAAAACCAAAGTAACTTATAAACCGTTTATTGTGTTTTTTTTTCTTCCATATTATCAAGCAAAATAAATAACGTCATAATAAATTGTTGGATCTTTATGATATCTTTTAACCACACAAAATCAAGCCTAACTAAACCAAAATCTTCTAGGTACAACTAATTGAAGCCGCAACCTTAACCAATAACCCAAACAATGCAAAAGGACTTGAGAAATTAGGGCTGTGATCACTCTCCAAACTATAAACATGTGAAGGTGGCCATTTTGCGATCATGTTGTCTTGTTGTTCTGGCTTCACTACTCTATCATACATTGTCTTAATGTATACCCTTGGCACCTTTTCTACACATTCATTAACTTCTGGAAATTGAGCATTTAGTAATGCACAAATGGGCCCTGGTCTTAATAGCATCGAAGCTAATGTATAATCCTACAAAATACATGATCATCAAACATATTAATATTTGGTTTGTGAAAACTTCTTAATACCTATAGGATATGTTCCGCAAAGAATTTTAGGAGTTTTTAACTTTTAACTTCAAAGAAAAAACTTGAATATATAAAAGGTTAGTTCGGATGTATGAGTTTAAAGTTTTTTTAATCCAAACAAAAAGTTTCTAATCAAAAAGATAGTTCAACTAAATTTTAAAGCTTTTAAGAGTTTTTAGTTTTTAGTTTCTAATTTTCATATTTTTATATCATTTTACAATTTTTTTCAAAAACTTACAACTAATTTTATCTAACGCTTTTGTCAAAATAAAAACTATTAGTTTCGTCAAAAATATTCATAACCATCCAAACTTTATTAAGAATGTCTAAAAGTTTTGAGCTGCACTTATTAATATGTTTGGTAAAACTAGTTGAAAGATAAAAACTATAATTTTATTTGTGTATAATTGTTCACCAAAAGCATATGTAAGTTTTTGAAATGTGTGAAATAAAATAAAAGCTAAAAGCTTTCAGCTCTCAAAAGTTATTTTAAATAAATTTTAGATTATAAGTTTTTTGTTTAAAAGAAATATTGAATGGACGTACTTCCGATTTCCGAATGAAGCTTTTTCTTTAATTCGATTTTTTTTGTGTCCAATATACCATGTTCCTATGATTTGTCAAATAAACTATGTATAGTTTTGTAATCTAGAAAACTTTTCATACCTCTGGAGGGCTCATTTGATATAGGATTTTACGTTGTAGCTCTTTTTTTATAGTTGCACTCGTAGGAGGCTGATTCACGCCCAACCCAAATTCCAAGTCATAAGCATCACCATACTCGGATAAATCAGGAACTCCCTATATTTTAACGAAAAATTTAAAGAAAATAAATTTTATTATCCTTGTTTTATAATACAAATACGAATTTGTAAAATTTTAAATTCTAATATGTAATGTCTAATCTAAATCTATAAGGGATGACTTCTTTGTGTTTGACATATTGAAAACCCAAGTGTTGACTCAAAGTCAAAACAATGCAAAAGTTGAAATTTTGGTTTTGCAAATTAAAAGTCTTAGTTTTAGGTTAACTTTCTTTTTAGTTGTAATTTGCTTGTGTTAAGTCGTTTTCTCTGTATATGGTTGGAAATCTTCTACAATTGTTTTTTAAATAAGTTGGTTTAATACAAAAACATCTAATTTAATATTTATAAAGTTGAACAAGCTAACAAGGTTCAAGTGAAAGTAATGAAAAAGAAATAGAAGTTTCGAGTTTGAGTTAAACTCAGAGCATGCACAGAGGCCAGAGCCCCTCTCAAGTCTCTTTCTCAAATCAAATTTGCAAGCCAGCTAAGGTTTTGGTCTTTCACCATTTGAAAGGTCCAGACCATTTCTGAAATTTACTTTTATCTTATTTTAATATTATATTTAATTAATTAATATATTTATTATATTAGTTAACTATTATATAAATATATTTATATATCAAAAATTATGTAACTTATATTTTGTTAAATTAAATATATATTCTTATTTGGTTATTATATAGTTTAATAATTATTTTTATTTAATTTGTAAATATTTTTATTTAAATTTATTCTTTATTAAATGATTATTATCTATAAATAGTAAATATATTATTTAAAAAGTAAAATAGTTGTTAATATGATACTATGGACAATTTTCAAAAATATAACTGCAAATGCTAATATGAAATGGTCCAAAGACAAACAATGTATTGGTGGACATATAGAATTAAAAAGGACTAATACTTCTTTGTCATACTAATTGAAAAACTAGTTTTTAGCTTATAAACTAATTTATCAATAAATTCTTTTAGCTAACTTATAAGCTATTTTATAAGTTACGAAAAATATTTTTATGGTTTTATCAAATATTAAATTACAATAAACTAATTTATTTTTGACAAATAAAGTCTAAGTTCAAAACTGATACTTGTAATAATATATTATTTATTTGAGATTTAAGTTTAATATCGGGACTAACATAACTATATATATATATATATATATATATATATATAATATATATATATATATATATATATATATATATATATATAAAAGAGCTAAATGTGTGTTTATATGACAATGTTTTATAGTTTTTTCAGAATTTATCTACCCAAATGGTTTTTAATTATATTTTAAGTTTAGGACCGACAAACAATACAATAACATGTAGGGTTTTTTTTTTTTCTTTTCATCTGATACATTGGTTAAATGATTGTCTACGCAAGAATGTTCTATTTTTGTGATTTCACCATATTGTTAGTTTGCCAGTTTATGTAATTAAAATGAATTATGTAACTAAGTATTAATCAGTTAAATATATTATATAGTTATAAAATGAGTAAATTACTAAAATCGTCCCTATGGTTTGGTCGAAATTGCACGTTTGGTCCCTAACTTTTTTTTGCACTCGGATGGTCCTTATGGTTTGATTTTGTTACATTTTTCGTCCCTTACATACATAAAGTTAGGGACCAAACGTACAATTTTGACCAAACCATAGGGACGAAAAATATAACCAAATCAAACCATAGGGACGATCCGAGTGCAAAAAATAGGTTAGGGACCAAACGTGTAATTTTGACTAAACCATAGGGACAATTTCAGTAATTTACTCTTATAAAATTGGTTTAAAACAAATGAAGCACCATTATATATAAAACAAAATAAAAAACATTTAAACCCTTATTCGTTTGGTTTATTGGGCTATGGAATATCTTCCACCAAAGTGAAGGCAAAATGACGAACAGTTGGCCCCAAAATAAGCATAGTATTCAGCTCCCCACTCTTTATCTACACGTCACCAAAGTCCAAAACCCACTATCGCATCTATTCCCAAGTGCCGTACAATCACATAATGCATTTCAAAAGAAGGTTCTTTTTCTCTTTTTTATTTATATATAGTTCATATAAATTAAAAAAATAAACATTAAAGAAATATGAAGATGTTAGACTTGGTTAAGACCACTTCCTCTTGTATATTTAAATGCGTTTATGCATAACAAGAAGAATAATAACATTATAACTATAAAAATATTTATCATTGATGGAAATACTGACTTGTTGTAAGACTGAATCAAGATTTATATCGTTAACTGATAAATATAACGATGTATATACACTTACATCTTTAATGTCTTGCTCTGTTAAAACACCATTTTTAAGCATGGTTGCTGCAACATATACCGCGAGACTGATCTTATTCGGGAATTTGTGAGTTGCTTGTGTCACGCTTAATCCCCCGGCACTATGTCCCACTAGGATCACCTATAGTAATGATTTTTGTGTTATTTAAGAGTGTTTTTATATTTTGTAACAAAAAGTCAAATAACTGGTACATCATTTCAAATTAGATAATTATTATGATTAAATGGACAAATTAATAGCCAACTTCCAATTCCTTTCCTTCTGTTTCACACCCAATTTTGCTCAAACTTTACATAAAATATGATTAATTTATTACACTTGAATCATACATACAATGCATGGTTTGTATTATAGTTTGAGAGTAATGCATCCTCATATGCATTAGATATTGTACATGAGGCACAAAGAGTTGTACATACCTTTTGATGTGGAGGCAAGGAAGATAAGAAATGAAGGAGAGGCTCGTTGTATTCATCAAAGGAGAGGATTGTGTTAGGGTCAGACGGATGTATGCCTGCCCCTTTGAGGTCTATGCAAGTCACCATGTATCCAGAGTTGTACATCATGCTTTTCAGCTTGTACCAACACCAACTTCCTCCACTTATGCCATGGATGAGCACAAAGTGTGGTGACTTCAATGGAGTCTCCTCTCTCTCCCCCATTCTCTCTCTCGCTCTTACTCTCTTTCTTTATCTCTCTTTCTCTCTCATGTTCTACTTGTGGGTATTTATATAAATTTCGATCATATGTTTTGTTATTTGTGTTTGTTTTTTTGTGAATTGTATGTGCCGAGTGGTTGGAATAAACACATCAATGGGACATGTCATACATCATTTATCCAAAATAATATGTTTTGATATGATATAAATATAATCTTTGATTTTCGTGCAACCCGAGAGATCAACATTTAGAGAAAAAGAAATTATGACGTGAGTACTTGCTTATTTAGTGATTTGTTTTACAAATTATTACTATGATCAAAGCGACAATAATCATCTTTATATATTTATATTATATATATATATAATATATATATATATATATATATATATATATATATATATATATATATAATATATATAAATTGATTCAGAATATACATAAAAAGAATTTATTTTTTATAAGTGTATCCTAAATTTAGCTAACCATTATGTGATTCCGCTTCTGATATTTAAAGTTACGATAATTATATTTAAAGTTACGATAATTATATTTGACACTTATATCCAAAGTTCCAAACACCTCGTAAATGAATATCAAAAATTATATGATTATCCCATTTAATATATTATTTGATAACATATACATGTACAATTTTGAAAAGAAAATTAGTTTGGATATTGAATATGGCATGTTTGACAAAACATGTAGAAACTAGAAGTTGTTACCTGCTAGCTTATAGCTAGTAGTTGAAACTAAAAGTTATAGATTTTATTTATACAAATTTGTCAAAATTAGTTATTAGCTTTTAAATGTATAAAATTAATTAAAACTAAAAAGTAATAATTCTGAAAAACTAAAAGCTCACAAATACGGTTCCAAGTAGTTTTTGTATTCAGAGTTGTTTAAAATAAATATAAAAATATCACGCTGTCAAACGAAACTTTTCTTTTTTTCAAAAATTTCGAATTTTTTCTTAAAAATTCTCAAAAGCTCGATGCCAAATACACCTTATATCCTTTGTGATATTAAATTTAATTAAACAAATTATAAAGTAATGGTTAATTATTTCAACTATTATACATATGGTTTTCTTATTGGAAACCAATATTTATTCTCGCCGACATGAAAAAATAACATTATAAAGAAGTAACCTTTAGTCAACTTATAAACATGTAATCGACAAGGATTTTTCTTCTGTAAGTTCATTTCTAAATAAAATAGTATTCTTTTAATGGTTCAAAATTTTAATAACTTTTCATATAATGTCATAAACGATCTTAGAGCGAGGACGGCTATTAAATAAGGCTACCCAGCAAAACAACAACGGCAAAAACAACACACACATTAGAATAACTTATTATTATTTTTAAGGTATGGATCTCAACAAGATTGATATAATAAGATTTTTCAATCTACATAAATAATTGAATGTTTTTGCAAACCTATAAATATCACATCCAAGACCGACAATTAGTCTCATTTTTTCAATACCGTGTATGGTATTCTTTTGTTTTTTAGTTTGTAGGTCCAAAACATCCTCTTATACATTTGAATTTTTCGTTTTCATATGTCAGTATTGCAAATATGTATAAGCGTGTTTTGTAAAACTAGTTGGTAGCTGGAAACTGCAACTTTTATTTATTATACGAGTGTTTGATAAAAAATAATTGAAACCTTTGAAGTATGTAAAATTACATAAAAGGGCACATGTCGAAAATAAGAATCACGATGACAATTAAAATTAAGGACAATTTTAGAAATTGATTAAAAAAGTTCAATTGTTTTTTCTTAAACGCTATATGAAATAGTTTTTTAGATTTTGAACTTTTTGTTTAAACCAAAAGCTAAAAGTTTGTACTATTAAACGAAGTTTTTTGTTTAAATCGAGTTTTTTTTGTTAAAAGTTAAAATCTAGAAACTCCCAAAAGCTTGCACCAAACACGCTCATAATCAGGTTACTCGTCAATTTGAATTTGGATCTTTTTAGCAAAAGTATTAGATATAAAAATGGAGAAGGTATTTTCAGTTATGTTTTTGATCCATCCATTAAAAAGCAGATGTTTTGACTTTTATACGCTTATATTATTCTTTCTACTTATATTATTCTTTCTCTTAGTTAAAATGAAATGTATGAAAATCAAATATATGTTTGAAGCGAATGAATAAAAAACATTAAAAAAAAATAATTACAAATTTTGTCACTTGGCTTTTTGTAGTCTATAGTTATAGTTTATTGAGTTTTTATATTGTTGGTCCGGAATACTGCATGGTTTCACTTTGATCCATAAAGATGTGTTCTTGAACTTAACAAAATTAAGAAAAGTGCATGGATTTAGAAAGTAACGGACATCAAAAATTCATGCTCTCGATAATTTTTTAAAGAAAAAAATAAAGTTTTGATTAATTTTCACGTAAAAATGTCACAAAGTGTAATCATTTCAGTTTTCAAAGAGAAAGGAAAGTGGAATATTCTATAAATCTTTAACTGCTAACAATTTTTTTCAAAATGTTAAAGCCATTTACGTAGGGAGGGTATACGAGATGCTAGACATTGAAATTAAATTTATTTACACAATGGTAAGGTTGAATATGAGAGGAAAATATAAAAAACTCGGGAATGGGATTGTGATTTCAAGTTGAGTTTGGTAACATTGATATCCACATAGAAGAACCAATAGGGGGGTTCTAACCAAGCACAAAGCATTCCATTAAATTGTGATATTACACTAAATCAGCAACAAATTATGTTAACGACTCTTATAAGTATATATCACATAAAATAAAATATATTCAAAAATTGGTCTTCAATCTTGACAATTTTTGTGTTAAAGGATAAAAAGAAGATGGTGTGGTGGACGGGAAATCTTGCAAGGGCCAAGGATATTTAGAGAAGGCATGGATTGTTAGGCTTTGAGGACACATTGCACGTTAGCAGGTGATGGGACTCCTCTGCGCATCCTTTGGCATAAGATTCTTTGGAAAAGAATGCATCAATGGTTTTTGTTTCTATTTTCATTTGAGATATATTATAACTAATAATTGTGACATGTAAAATAAACTTATTTAATAGATAGATTTTATAAAATATCTTTGATTAAAATATGTAATTTTACGTAACTATTTCTCAAAATATACCACTAAGTTCACTAAATAATAACGCTATTGGTTGTAATGATAAGAAAAACATTTCTTCAAAAATAAAGAAATTTGCAAATACCATTTTGCAAGTAATTAATGTGATACTTTCCAAAAAAAAAAAAATAATAATAATAATAATAATAATAATAATAATCATTTCGTGATTTGAACACATTATCCAAATACTAGTTATCAGAATTCACACCCTACGAAAAAGTCCCGAAATTTTCTAACAAGTGACAAGTGACTCTTACTTTTCATTTCTTTTGATAACAAATGAATACGATATAAAGTGATGGGTCAAAAGAAATTAGATATAACCTGTTACATATAAGAACAATCCTTATCCTCCTCACTCATAAGATTTCAGTCAACTTACTAAAGACTAAACATTTCTTCTTCCATCCTAAGGGGGAGGATGATCAAACTTGAAAACTAACAAATGAAATCAACAACTGAAAACACAAGGGATCAAGACCACTTGTATAATATACATAATAATGATCCACATCAATTGAATTGGTTAAAAAATATGTGTCTAAATCGCCTGTCATCAGTTGACTTTTCACTTCAAGCAACCACAGGCTGCTACTTCTTTGAACTTTGATGATGATGATGATGCCATTCATACATTTGATTATATTTTCTACATAAGTATAATAAATAAATAAACATTTTCGTTGTTGAGTGAAAGCATATTATATGAAAAAGTACCTTGAGAATAATAGTAAGAGAGAGAGAGCATCATTCTCTTTTGTCTTCTTCAAGAACCTCAAAAACATGATCTGTAATGACTGCAGGTTTCCTCTCTATCAAGTCTCCTGAAACTTTGACTCCACCTCCAGACAAAGATATTCCATCTTCTTCTATGTCCTCAACCTCCGAATACGAATACCTGCACACTTGCAAAATGACAATATTACCCCCAACTAGGATACCATGTTTGACTTTTGAGAGTCAAAGATTAATTTATACCTTGTGGGATTATGTGAAGGAGCCCATAGAATACATATCACCACCAAAAGTATATAAGCCAACACAGCCCAGAAAGCTTGTATGATCCAAGCTCTTTGCCATAATTCACTCAAGGGATCACTTGCATTGAAGTACAACTAAATAAAAAAAAACATAAAAGATTAACCCCCAAATACTTTGTTACCCATATATGTCATTAACCGTTAAAAAAAATATATATTAAATGTACCTCATAGCTGATCCAAGCAACAGAAACTAAAACTGATACAGCTAAAGCATTAGTAAACTTTCGGTATAGTTCAAGTTTACCCATGTTTCTTCGTGTCTACATAAAATATATATATATATATATATATATATATATATATATATATATATAATTAAATCAAAGTCCATCAAGAAATGAAGCAGAAAGAATTAACAGTGAATATACCTGAAGCTTTTCCAAAGTTTTAGATAAAGATGAAAAGATCCAAAGAATGAAGCAAGAATCCAGTAGAGCAACAGGTAGAACAAGAAAGACTCTTGCTTTCCCAGAAAAATCATTGATATTTCCAAGATTTTCAACAAGTTCAAGAGCTTCAGAAGCCACAAAATATATCAAACCAAGAAGCAACACTTTCAATGTTACACCTCCTAAAGTGGGTCGCACCACACCAAAACCCATTGATACAACTAGAAGAAGAAGGCGAGAGAAAGTCTTCTTAAAAGCACTGAAAGTAACTGCCCAAAGAGTAATTCCAATTGGTCTACTTCCTGTGGCATTGAAATTTGCATACTCAAAATACCAAAGAGCCATCTCACACATTCCAAGACCAATAACCATTGTGATATGGTAATGCAACTGGATTATATCCTTCCAATGTTGAACAAATCGAAGAAACCATAAAAGACCAAGAATGAGATAAGTTAGAGACATGAATCCAAAAAATGGCATCAATGGTGTCATCTTCCCTGGTAGATAACCATTTGGGTTTCTCCAAACTGTTCTTCCACTCATTGTTGTGCCCTTGAGTTGTGGATCACAGAACATAAAGTAAAGATAATACATTCCTGTTCTATTGATCTCAACGGTTTGTAACAACATCTTTGCTTCTTCATTTTTGCCCTCAAATGGGGTTTGAATACGTTTAGGCCAGCCAGGGTTATCAGGATCTTGGCGAATAATTACTTCTCCTACCTTACATGAACCATCATTTGCTAGTTCAGGTGTACAACATATCGCGTTTGAATTTAAATATGAACCCCCAATTTTATCACGGTTTTTCACTTCAACGAGTATAGCTTCAACCAAACCAGTACTCTGTTGCATCTCGTTCTGTTTAGCAGCAACCTCCTTTGGTCTTCGAAAGATGATAGACTCGAACCTTGAATCATATGGCATATTGAATGAGTAAGACCTTACATTCTATGGAAGTAAGTGAGGATCCAGTTTAAAGTAAAAGATATCTCTCTAATTCAAATTGACAAAGGATTTTAGTACATTTAACATCAAATTATTCTGTTTGCACGTAATGTAGTTATGTAGTAAGTAAATTTTCTTCAAAAGCGTTATACGTATATCAGTTTTGGAATCAGATAACTGTTTATCTGGCATCTAAAGTCAAAACGTTTCGTTGGGGGATTGAGGGAGGTATCAGCTTTATCCCCACGCACACATAAGGGAATCTGATAATCAGTTATTGACTTCAATGCAACAATGGATTCCACCGCATCACAGAGCACAAGACGTTAGGATTAAACTGTAGATCAGAAATCAAAATTAGAGAAGGAAAAAGGTTTGTACCGTACGAAGGATTTGCCATTTATAGGTTTATCTTCGGTAGACCCATTGTTATGTACCTTAGAAGCATACATTCCCTCACTACCTCCATGAACGAAGAAGGAATTGAATCGAGGTATGAATCCTTCATTCTTATATTCGTGGATCGAACCTTTTACAACATCAATCACCGATAAACTCAAAAGAGAAATCAAAATCCCTATTTGATAATGCTTGTATGAGAAAAAATCATAATCATTACTACCTCTAATGAATCTCATCTTCTTCTCTCCCGATATATATATATATATATATATATATATATATATATATATATATCTATCAATCACATATGCAAATGCGATTCTCTCTCGCTCTCTCGAAAAATGTACGAAGAAGATGAAGTTTGATGAGTACTCCGTTGCTGCAGAACAGCGTTTATTATTTCACAGGTAATTAATGTTTATTTTTATTATTCTTTATACTCTCCTTTCCCAAAATAAATCCAAGAGTATTAATATGGTAATAAATATCTTCTAAAAGTGTAAATGTCCTATAAATATATAACGACTAAAAGAAATCTTCAAACTTTGATTTTATTTATTGTAAATTTATGACTTTATTTGTTAACATAAAATGACAAAAAAATGGAAAATCTTTACAAATTTAAAATAAAAGAAACTATAAAATATTGGCTTTTTCGAATACCATGATACATCCGAATTATTTGTATCATAATGAAAATGGATAATGATTTGATAGGGTAAGATATTTTTTGAAATGTACACATTTAGTCCTTATTTTTTTTTTTAAAAAATAAACCCTTATACTTTATTAATATGTACACATTAGGTCTTTTTCACCGGATTCTACAGATTTTGCTGACGTGGAAGGGTTTATTTAAAAAAAAAAAAAAAATAAGGACTAAATGTGTACATTTCAAAAAGTATCTTACCCTATCAAGTCATTTTCCATTTCTTTTATTTTGTTGAAATGAAATACCCAGGTGGCATCCACATATCCACAACGAGATTTTTCCAACTTTTATTCATCATGAAAAAGAGGGAGAACCCCGATCTCCGGCGACTCCTTTGTGTGTGTTCCTACACATCACTGTAGCAAGGAGGAATGATGGCAAAAACAACAAGGTCGAAGGGGGAGGCAGGAGGAAGTAGAGACGGTAGTTGGTGGCGAGGAGCTGCTCTGGTAGCCCCCTCGTCGATTCTTTCTTCTTTTTCTGGCAACATATCTCAAAGATGGAGGCAAAGAGAGACAGATCGGAGAAACACAACAGGTAAAGGGTGTTTGGTTGTTGCTGTTCGACCGGAAGGAAGAGAGACGAGAAAGAGAAGGGTCGCCACCCTTTTCTTGTTGCTGGAGGATCACCCACCTTCGGTGACTAAGCTAATTAATTGCTATTTAGTGCCACTTGTGCTTCCACATCAGCAAAACCTGTAGAATCCGGTGAAAATGACCTAATGTGTACATATTAATAAAATATAAAGGTTATTTTACAAAAAAAAGAATAAGGACTAAATGTGTACAATTCAAAAAGTATCTTACCCTATGAAGTCATTTTTCCTAAAAGAAAATTCGTATATGACCGGTATACCGGGTATAACTGGTCACAAGGATTGCATTGTTACAAAAAATAAAGTATAAGCGTTTATTTTACAAAAAAAAAGAATAAGGACTAAATGTGTACATTTCAAAAAATATTTTACCCTATCAAGTCATTATATATATAATTGCGTTACAATAAGAATACAATATTATTAGAATAAAAAATAGTGTTAATGTTATTATATACTAACCAGCTGTCATTATCATTTTCTGTTTAAAAGGTATTTTATGTTATTTTTTTGGATTGTAACTCCTTAAACTTTCAAATTAAAAATCAAACGGAGGAATATCCAAAAAAATAAAAAAGTCCTCCGGTTGCTTAGATGAGTTGGCGTCCACATGGCATGTTTGTGAACTAAAGTGGTCAATGTGGCGTCCACCTGGATTATTTCCTGTAAGAATTAAAAATTAAACTCTCTCTCTCTCTCTCTTTCTCTCTCCATGTAACACCCCGTTTCCACCTTTTAGTATGATTTAATATAAACCGCGTTTATAAAATTCGAAATATAAATATATTACTCTTTAGACCAAGTAATCAGCATAAACATGTAGGAAACGTTGATACGATTTTCGTACATAGAACGTTTAACCCGACTTCGTATGAAGAAGTTATGCTTCTTCGAAGTTTCGCAATTAAACCGAAATGGCTCTGCATATCGTAAAAAGTGAACTTTTGACAGATTACTTATAAGCTCAAGTGATCTAAACGAAAGTCGTATTAGTCGTAAAACTGAGAGCGTGCATATAAAGAACGTCCAAATTTGACTTTGTGCGATGAAGTTATGATTTTTCGAAGTTTCAGCGCAGTAGTGCGAGCACAAAATCGAAATTCAAAACGGTTGATTGTTAACCGAAATAATCTAAACGAGAATTGAAGATCTCGTGAATATGAATATGTTGATATAAAGATAGTCGAGAATGGAGTTCGTATGAAAGATTTATTAATTTTGTACGGATTTTAACAATCTAAACCGATCTAAATATGAATTTTAGTTAAAGTAAGAATTAGCTGATGGGATGTAACACCCTATTCCGAATCGTTCCTAATTTGGGGTCGTAACCCGAAGATCGATTATCATAAGGCTTAGGGCCTTTGGAAAAGAGAAAATTAGTCACCCTTTTTTAGTGTGGAAAATGTAGATTGGATGACCCGGGAGTTTGGTTTGTGTTTTGGAGCCCAAGGGTATATCGGTAAAGTATCAGTCCGGGCCTTTATGAATTTTGGGTTTAAGTTCGGAAAGTTTTAAGGAAATGGAGAGTCGATAGAAGTGTATAGCTTCTCGTTACCTTTCTGTGGATATAAGGATCGTCAAAATCGGACTTAGAACGAATAATTTATGGCTTTCGGAAGTTTGGTGGGTTTAAGGCTAACCCTAGTACGTGGGGCGTACATAGGAGTACGTTGGGCGTACTAGGAAGGTTGATCAATGGTGTTCGAGGGAGTACGCTGGGCATACCAAGAGTGCAGGGCGTACTCCAGTCTGATGCAAACCCTAAATTAGGGTCTTTGACCCTATTTAAAGGCCTTAACTTGTGTTCAAACCCTATTATCTTCAGCCTCCATCAACCCTATGCCCTAATATCGAAACCCTAAGTGTATTTGGTAAGATTTGAGCTTGAAAGTGAGTTTGTTGGTGTTTTGTGGTGAAGAAGAAGAGGAGGAACACTTGTAGGTTGCTTAGGAGTAGCCTGAGCTTGTAGATCCAGGGTTATCTTCACCTTAACAATCCATTTGAGGTAAAAAGTTCTCGTCTTGATGATCCTTTGTGTTAGATCCAACTTAGGGTGTTATCTATGCATTTTTGGGTCTTTTGAGCTAATGTTGAGATTTTGATCTACTCCAGAAGCCATGGATGTTAGATCTTAGCTCCATTGAGGTCCCTTGTTCATAAAAATGCAAACTTTATGAAAGATATTGGTTCATGCAAGTGTTAAGAGCCTTATTAAGCTTCTTTTTGAGTGTTGGGTCCCATTAAGTCATGCATGGGTGTAAAGTTTACAACTTTACGTATTAAGTCACCAGTTAGGATCAGATCTGAGAGTTAGGCAAGAGGTCTTGACTGATTAAGTGCTTAATGGAGTAGATTGGTGATATGGGGAGAACGTTGGGTGTACCCAGCTGATACATTGGGTGTACTGGCCCCTGAAGGAGTACGCTAATCGTATGAGCTGAGTACGTCGCACGTACGAGCTGAGTACGCCCCGCGTACTCAGCAGATTGACTTTCGATTTGACTTCCTCGGTTTTGGTCTATATTTTGAGCTTTTAGGATTTGGGCCTTATGGGGCCATTAGACTTCTGACTTTCGGTCATGGATAGACAATGGACTTTCTTGGGAATTAGGTCCATGATGATTTTGGGCCCAATTTAGAATTTGGGCCTTATTGGGCCCTGTGATGCCATTTAAGGAATTTTGGCCTTTTGAATATGTAACTATAACATCCCAAAAATCATGACCAAAATTTTCATTTTTAGTATAACGATTCATAAAACATTTTTAGATAAAACATCATCAAGTTATTTCATATCATCAAATCCACAGATCATAATTCTCAAAAGCATGTCATAATCAAATAACAATGTCAGAGTACAATCCCAAGAACATCATAGCGCGGAAGATAGTGGTGTGATGCGTTGTTACCGTGTCGGCTCCTTTCCCTTCGAAGAAGAAGGACCTGAAACAAAAACTGTAAACCATAAGCACAAATCTTACTGTTCCCCCATCATACCTTATACCATATAACAAACATATTGTATGGCAATTCTGGGGTGCCCGACCTACCCTGCCAAGCCATTCTGGGGTGCCCGACCTACCCAGCCAGGCAATTTTGGGGTTCCCGACCTACCCTGCCAGACAATTCTGGGGTGCCCGACCTACCCTCTGGTTTATCTCAACCGGCTATGGAGACTATTTCACCCCCTACTACTACCATATAATAATATAGCGTAAGCATACTGCCAGACAATTCTGGGGTGCCCGACCTACCCCTCGGTCCTTACGACCGTGACATGGGGACTATTCCCCCTACTACCACTATCACATAACATCATATCATGCTAGCACATATAACATATCAGGTAGTAGAAAACCTAGATAATTATCACAAAGACAATCATCTAACAAACAACTCCTATTAATGGGCCGACATTGTGGTCGTAGACCCAATTTTACTGGAAGGTAACTCACCTCAATGTCGTGCAGTAACTGAACTGTCCTCGGTGTTGGGATCAACTCTCCTCAAACTCCTACACATAATAGTCTCCTTTAGTTACTCCTTCATATTCATATCCCCTTTAAGGGTCAATATTGGGTAATGGTCAAAGTCAAAGTCAAAGTCAACGCCCTGGTCAAAGTCAACATCCTGGTTGAATCAACTCGTCGAGTTGGTCCATCAACTCGTCGAGTTCCATGATTCATAGAATCTCAAATTCGCGATCTGACTCGTCGAGTCACCCTCTAACTCGCCGAGTTTCTCCTTATGACAAAATCGAGACTTTCCATTTGAACTCGTCGAGTCCTTCCTTGGACTCGTCGAGTTCTCCTTCATACAGTCAGGACATTTGCTAACTGACTCGACGAGTTCCTCCTTGGACTCGTCGAGTTCTTGACCTTTAAGTCCAAAACACGTCTAACTGCTGAGTCATCTTCTAGACTCGA